TCGGCCCGGCGCGGGGGGGAGGGAGGACGGAGAAGGCTCCGACCCTCGCGCCTTTGCCCTGCTGTCGCGCTGAGCCGGCCGGCGAAGCACCGGCTTTGAGCCCCTGAGAAAGCCCATCGTCTCCTCTGTTTTCCCCTCCTGCCAGAGCGTTACCCATATGTCCGCTGCGTGCGTTTTTTCTTAGAACCTGACCTTGGAGAAAAGAAAGCAGAGGCTGAGCTGTTTCTGAAGCCCACTGCCATAACTCCGGCCAGCAAGAAAAGCGCCAGTCCCTGTGGGAAGACTGGAGGGGCTACGAGGAAAAGATCCCACAGAAGCCCTAGCCCCAAGAAGAGCCCCCTTGGGCCTAGTCCCGAGAGGATATCTCCATGCAAAAGCAGTCCCAGGAAAGACCATACATCAAGTTCTTTTAACTTGTCCCCGAGACCACTGATCATCAGTCCTCAAGCCAGGCGTCGCTCTTGGCGTCGTTCAAGCCTAAAGGGGACAAAACGCCGGAAATCGCTGCCCCCTTTTCACCAAGATGTCACCGGTAAGCACTGTACTTTTTCCCTTAACCAAACTCTCTTGAGAAACTTGCATGACAAGGGGAAATTTGATTTCATGGCGCAATCTTTAGTATACAGTGTAATTGCATTGTTCCAAACCTCTAGCCATTGATGTCCATCTTGGCAGCTGCCTCCGAGGTCCAGGTGCTTGAGACTAAAAGGAGGTGCTGTGTTAACATGTGCCGTACGCCAGTGGTATGCGGTATTTGTGTCTTTACTTTCATGTTTGAGGCTTAAGTGTGGCTTTTCTTGTTATGAAGTCTCTTTCTCCCTCTCTTCCCTGCTCCCATCAAATCCTGGAAACAGCTCTCATGTACAAAAACATGAGCTTTTAGTGTCTTTCAAGAACACTTCAACTGTTTGTAATTTGGTATAAGAAGTTTATTTGTTTTTAAATAATTTTGTTTTGGCTTTTCAGAATTAAGCAAATCAATTAGCCTAGATCTGCCAGAGACAGACAGGCTTTCCATGCTGCTCCTGTCCAGTTTCCAGGTAAGGTACTCGGTTGTAAAAGTGAACTATTTTTCTCTTATTTTTCTTCTGACATTAAATGTGTGTTATACATGTAGTTAAATGAGTGAAAAAAGCAATCATATGGCATGTAGAGTTTAGGGAGTGACATGTTTATCTTTGTCATATAATTCAAGAAGGGGTGATGAGACCTTCTTTCCTATATTCTCTTAGTATTCTGCCCAAAAGCTTGAATACTTCTTGAAGCAGACTGATGGCTTTAGCCCTGAGGCTTTCAAAGCTAATGGTAAGTTGCATTATATGTCTCACAAAACAAAGATAAGGCTATAACTTAAAATTATTGATCCTTCACTGTCATCCTTTCAAGATGAAACCAGCTGTATTGTAGAAAAAGGAGCTGCGGCTTCCAAAAATATTTGCATGTTGGAATAATGTTTTTAAGAGCCTGTTCATGATCACAATTTCTGGGAGGAAGAACAAATAAACGCACTAAACTAAACCTTGGTCACAGAGGTGGTCCCTCCTTCAGAGACAGTATAAACTAGAATGCCATCTGATAAGGAATCAAACTGGTATTCTGTTGGTTAGATAACATCTTTGTTTGTCAGTATTAGTAATCTTGCAGGCAGCTGGCACAAGCATTATTTTATCCTCTTTTGTCTTCGTCTCCAGTAAACTCGGTTTCAGAAGAGCTGAAGCGATACGTGCAAAAATTGAAACTAGATGGAACGCTAAAGAACTGTGTAGAAGAGCCTAAAGGGTAAGGACTTGTCTCACCCATTGCTTGCGGAGTGAAGGTTTATTATTTTTCTATTTCTCCTTTATGGCCTGTCCAGTCATCTAAATTTGCAAGCGGTAAAACATGCGTCCTGTGGGTCCAATGCTTTAATAGCTAATGGCATTGTTGGACAAATGGTAGAGTGAATACTTGGAGGGGCATTATTTTTATGAATGCTGAGGACCTCAGAAATGACTTCGCTTTCAAATGCTGCAATTCTAAGCATTTACCCAGCATTGTTGCATAAGTACTGAGCAGTTATCAGAGCGCGATGTGACATATAAATGGTACAGGAATGCTACATGGAGTCTCATTGATGTTCTGCTTCTGTGTTTTAGGATTTTACTGGACTCTGCTTTAGATGAGTCATTGGCCCAAATTAAGGAGTATATAGCCAGGTGAGATTGTGTGTGTGGTCTGAGAGTGTCTAAGATCAGTAGGGGTTTGGACCCTTATTGTTTTTATAGAGGGTTAGCGTGCATTTGTGGTGGACATGGGGCAGAGCTTCTGATATAGTTTCTTCTGGAAGTAATTTTATTTGCACAAATTCTGTGTGAGGTAAGTAGGAATAACAGGGAATTTGCTTTAGAACTGTTACTCCTGCTTTGAACCAAAATGCTTAGCCGTATGAGAATAACTGCATCCAACTCAGACCTTACTTCACAGAGGGCTTGGTCCTTTGCGCTTTTGTCTGTAAATCATAAAGAAGAAGTCTGACCCACAATAAAAGTAGATACTTGGCTCTTTCTTTTGCTATGAGCTTTTACTGTGGTTTAGCATTGGAGAGGTAATGCCTCTCACCACATCCTAACAGGGCTGTTCTTTGATCTTTCTGTAGGTTTACTACTGAATGTCGGTCTTGGGATCAACTTTTACTGGGCTACCAGAAAAGTGCTGAAGAAATGTCCAGGTGTAGATTGTTATCCTATGTCTTATGTCTGTTTCGTTTTTGAAAACTTTCCAAGAGAAAAGAAAAGTAAAAGTCTGCTTCAAATGATGCCTTGAGCTATGCCTAATAGTTAAACGCCTTTTGTCTTGCAGACAACTAGAGGAATGCAAGACTAATCAAGGCCATGCGGAGCCGCAGAATTATCTAGGAACATCTCAGGCCAAAGTTCTTGGCAGCAAGCCCAACTATCAGAAGATACTAGATGACCAGGGGGAAGTCTTTACCTGCATGGAGCTTGTGGTGAGCTAGTTTTAGGAAAGAAACGTTCTCTACAACGTTACGGATTTTTAATTAAATTGAATTTATAAATTAATTATCACTTAATTAAAGCAGAATTATCTGCTTTTTCTGGTGCTGAAGACGTTCATCTTCACAGTATGGGAGCTAGCTTGTATCACTCACGGAAGAAGGCATAAGGAAAAGATGATACTGGATCTGATATGTTGTTTACAGACAAGTTTTGTGGGGGTGAAAATGAAGACGTGCCTGTAATCTCAGTAGTCGTTTTACAGCATTGCATGTCCTAAGACCCCAGAGAGAGAGAGCTCTTAAGAGAAACAATCGCTAGTGCTTTGGCAGCAACTCCTCGTTCCCTCGGTTTGCTCCCCAAGCATTTGCGTTTCTTTTCTTCCAATTTTTCATGACATCTTTGCCTTGTAGCTGGATGAACTACAGCAAGCAGTGAAGTTGCTGCAGGCTTTCGCCGAAGACGGGACGCAGTACCTCCGGGGCCTGTCGGAGAGGCTCGGTAAGCGTGCTGCCCCGCGCCCCGGGGGCTTCCTCCGGGGCCGAAACCTGCCGCGCAGAGCCCCGG